CGCCAACTAAACGTCAGTCACAAGCTACTATACCGTCACAAACGAACAAGAGAGTAAGTTGCAACACTGCACTCACGGTAATTTGCACAAATCTCCCGGAACCCACAAGTCAATCATTGGGAGAGAGGAAACAGGAAGAGCTGAGTCGCTGGACAAAGGTATATGCCCGCATGGGTGTAGAAGCCAAACCGGTGAGCCTCACACACCTCTGGTGCCAACCGACATAACCACATATCGGAGAACCCAGGTCACTTCGTGTGACGCTGTCCAGTGAAGAAGACGTAGAAAACATTCTTCTTTCTAGTTTTCTCATTGCAGATGGGTCCAGCAATACCAGAATTTTACCAGACAGACCTTGGACTAAGCGTGTACACCGACAGAACGATCCTAACAGTGCACGCGAATCTCATACACGGAGTGTAACAGCTCACCAAAGCCGATGAACCCAACTGTCGAAAAAATGATTTTTACGAATGGCTCTTCATGCAAGAATTGTTGGACTGCCGAAATGTCTCTACCACGGCCATTAAACGCCTTTTACGTTCTCCCAAATATCGTGGAGACGGCCCGCAAATAATGAAGGTAACCCTTAGGACACCAGAAATAGCAAACACTGTTCTCCAGTCACGGTATGAACACAGAACCAGAGGGTCCAAAGAACTACGCGTAAGACCGATACTGAATTCAGGACCGAAAATTTGTCCACCAGTCGAAAATTTTAATCACATTGCGCGTGGATCACTGCAAACTTCATCCTCCACTTCAACCCCATCAGACCAAACCCAACAAACACCGACGGCAAAAACGTCTATCGACCAACGACGAGGTCGGCCAAATTACGTCTCTGAACTCCAAGAGAATTCTGCACCGACAACCACTGAACTGTTTCTATACCAACGATCAGGGTTTTTTCAGTAAGTTTCCAGAAGTTGAACTAGGTTGTCAAACCAGTCGATGGGATCTAATTGCCGTAACCGAAACCTGGTTGACGACTGACATTTTGGACCTCGACCTGCGATTACCAGGCATGGAGCTATTGAGGCGTGATCGTCCAACGCGAGATGAGGGCGTGCTGCTCTACTATCATAACAGTTTGCAATGCGAGCAAGTTGAGTGCCCGTTCGCTGCTTCCGATACTTTAAGGTGTAAACTGAAGCTAACACAACATGATATCGGGCTGATCTGTTTAGTTTATCACCCTCCTTTGTCAGCAGATTCATCAAATGAGACTTTGTTGCAAACAATGTCTTACTTCCTCTCATTGAATTTCACCCACGTTATTGTTTTGGGTGACTTCAACTGTCCAAAGCTGAGCAACGTGATTACATCGTGTACGCCATTTGAACGACAGTTGAAGCAGTTCATCCAGTCATATCCGTTGTACAATCATGTGAAGAAACCNNCGTCAGTAGATTCATCAAATGCGACTTTGTTGCAAACAATGGCTTACCTCTTGTCATTGAATTTCACCCACGCTTTTGTCATGTGTGACTCCGACTGTCCAAAGTTATGGAACGTGACTACATCGTGTACGCCATTTGAACGACAGTTGAAGCAGTTCATCCAGTCATATCCGTTGTACAATCATGTGAAGAAACCTACTAGGTTTGACACCAACCATATTTCGTCAACTTTGGATCTAGTACTGACAAATGAAGAATTGATGGTCAAATCAATTGCAATCGCAACTCCGTTGGGGCACAGTGATCACGCTGTATTATTGTTTGAATACGTTTGCTATGCATCAGTAATGTCAGCTTCTTCGGATCGCTTTCGCAGCACAACTGGTTATGCAGGACTAAACAACCAAGCTTAAGAAATCCAGTGGATCTCCCTGATATAGGCTGCAATCCCCCAGAAATCCTGGATAGTATTTACTAGCAGTATCCCAACACTGGTGGCTACTGTTACAACCGTAAAGCGTCGATGCCAACTGACTGTCCGAAAATCAGCAATTCGCAGTCGACCTAGGGAAATGGATAGTTCAAAGGGACTTTCACTGGAGGGCGTTCAAACGCTATCCATGCCCCAGCACTTGGGAAGCGCACAGGCTCCTTCAAAATCACTGTACGAATTTGGTGTTAGAAGACAAGCGCCATCATCATGATATGCTGGCGAGGAAGTTTATCGCAAACCCTAAGCTACTATATAAGCATGTAAACTCTTCTCGGAAATTCAAACTCAGCAGGACGTGTTTCAGCGATAACCAAGGAGGCTGCATAAATGCTTAGACTACAGTACTCTCAAGCGGTCAGTGCCCCTAGTAACGCTGGGTTCGTACTTCCCCGTTTGCTGGAAAATATTCCTTACCCATTACT